TAGTAGTGCAACTTCTGGGTTGTAGAGTAGCTCTATTTTCAATTTTTTGAGCAACCTCCATACTGTTTTCCAGAGTGGCTGCCCCAGTTTGTTTGCATTCCCACCATCAGTGTAAGAGTGTTCCCCTTTCTTCGCATCCTCGCCAACACTTGCTGTTTCTTGTGTTGATTTTAGCCGTCTGACAGGTGTGAGATGGTATCATTGTGGTTTTGATTTGTATTTCCCTGATGCCGAGAGATGTTGAGCATCTTTTCATGTGTCTGTCTTCTGTCCATTTTAAAAGTGGATTATTTGTTTTGCTGTTGAGTTATATAAGTTCTTCATACAATTTAGATACTAACCCTTTATCAGATATGTCATTTATAAATATCTTCTCCCATTCTGTAGTTGTCTTTTAGTTTTTATTTCCTTTGCTGTGCAGATTCATTTGGCTTTCTATGACTAATATATTTTTTAAAGATTTTATTTACTTGATAGAGAGAGTGAGAGAGCGCAAGCAGGCAAAGCAGCAGAGGGAGAGGAAGAGGCAGGCTCCTCGCTGAGCAGGGAGTCTGATGTGAGGCTCGATCCCAGGACCCTGGGATCATGACCTGAGCTGAAGGCCGACGCCCAACCAAATGAGCCCCCCAGGCGCCCTCTATGACTAATACTGCTGAGCATCTTTTCATTCACATATTTGCCAATCCTGTGTTTTTGGTGGGTATTCAGATCTTTGGCAGTTTTATAAGTTTGGGCTACTTTTCTTTTATCTTGTTGAGTTTTGAGAGGTTTCAGATAGTCTGTTATCAGACACATGCTTTGAGAAAGAGTCTCCCCTGGCCTATGGCTTGCCTTCATTTTCTTCACGGTGTCCTTTGAAGAGCGAAAGTTTTTAATCTTGATGTAGTACAGATTATCAGCTTGTTCTTTAATGGACCGTACTTTTGGTGTTGTATCCAACAAACTTCTGATTAACTTAAGGTCGCATATATTTTCTCTTAGAAATTTTATAGTTTTAGACTTTACATTTAAAAGTTGATTTTTGTAGATAATGCAAGATATGGATCCAAGGATTTTCCATTGTTATTTTGCTTATAACTGTCCAATTGTTCCAGCACCATTTGTTGAAAGACTGTCCTTTCTCCTCATTGCCTTTTCAACCTTTGTCCAAACTCGGGAGTCCATGTGTGTGGGGGTCTCTCTCTGGACTATCCTGTTCCATTGATGTGTCTGCCTATTGTTGTATTAGAATCACACAGTTTTGGTTAGTGCAGCTTTATAATAATTCTCAAAATCAAGTAGTGTTAGCCTGTCAACTTTGTTTTTTTTTGAAGTTCTTTTGGCTGTTCTAGGTCACTTGCCTTTCCATACGGAATTTCAGAATTAGTTTGTCAGTTTCTTCAAGAAAAACTCGCTTGGACTTTGATTAGGATTGTATGGTCTCTAGAGATCAATCTGAAAGGAACTGGCATATTAACAATCTTGACTCTTCGGACTCACGGACAGGTGTATCTCTCCATCTTTTTAAGTCTCTCTTGGAAATATTTTATAGTTTTCATGTGTGGGTGTGGTGAGTGGAATCACGCCACCCTCCCTCCCCCTGTTCCATTATGTCTGTGTCCTAGTCCCCAGAGCCCGAGATGGGGAGGGGTAAACGTTATCCAACAGGGACAAATGTGAGCAAGTCACAGGAGAACACAAACTGCGTTCTGCAATCTGTATGATGTTGAGAGACATGCAAATCCAAGCACTGTGCTGTTTGAGGTGATGCGACAGAGAAACATACACAAGGGATGGCGGAAGCACTGAGGACTGCACTGGTCTGCTCGGGCTGCTCTAACAAACACCACAGCCCAGGCTGACCCAATAGAAAATCATGTTCTCATGGCCCTGGAGGCGGGAAGTCTGAGGTCCAGGTGTGGGCAGGACAGGTTTCCCCGAGGCCTCTCTCCTGGCAGGTAGACGGCCATCTGCCCTGTGTCCTCATGTGGTCATGGTCCTGTGCATGTCTGTGTTCTCATCTCCTCTTCTTCAGAGGGACACTGGTCATGCTGGATTAGGGCCACCCTAGTGACCTCATCTTCCATCTGCAATGACCCCATCTCCAAATACAGTCACATTGTAGGGTATCAGAGGTCAGAACTTCAACATGAATTTCAGGACCTAATCCAGCCTGTAATACCCCTCTATCTCCTTGGGCTGTATGTCAAGTAGCTGAATTTGACTACAATTAACACATTCTGTTCCAAGGAATTAGAGATGAGTTTTGAAGGATGTTAGGAATTAAGTGAGTGACAATGTTGAGAATTAGGATTCCAGTATTAGTTCCAAGCATGTGCTAAACTTGGGTCCTGACAGAGGACAAATGACTGAAAAAAGGACCCCGTGTGCCCCCAGCATCAGTGGAGCACCACGCACAGAGGAGGCACGGCCTTGCCTGCTGAAAGGAATTTCGCGTTGGTCTCTTCCACTTGTTTTGAAGTCCACTATGAGCATATAGAATATTGTCAGACAATAACTGGTCACCTAATTATAACTTTGTTAAAGTAATTCAGGAACTGTCACCTACTTGTCTCAAGAGCATTAAATTTAATATTAGGTTGAACCACAGAAAATGGCCACATTTGATCATTTTTGACCTGCAGGTTATTCCACATGGTTCAGTCTAATTCAATGTCTGAGTAATTTTAATTTAATTTAATTTTTAAGAGAAGAAAGAAAACGAGAAAGCAACTCACTCGATCAAAGCCAAGGAGTATTTTCAGGCTGTAATCAAATGGCCATATAAATAGGAAACTATTCCAAAAATATAACTTCTCCCCAAAACAGGCACTCTTAAGGGTCAAAAGTCTTTTCAGTTTAATCAACAAAGCCAGAAGGCAAGCACATACCAGCCTTTTGCTATGATATGAGCTGCCGTGGATACAGGAAACTTTTATTTCCAGTGCACGACAAGGCTTTAAGATCGTAAAGTCTGGTTTGGACATGGTCTTCCACGACTGGATGTTTTCAGCGATGGCTGACAGCGAAGGTTTCCCCAAGCCACGCTGCTCAAGGCCTCCATCGTGATCACTCACAAGTCAGTTTTATGGCCAGTATTGCGCTAGTCAGAGGCCAGCTCAGGCCTAAAAGCATAACTAAAACAGAACATACAACTGCGTCCCAGGATTTGTTGAATTTTTCTCCTGCCACATTATCTGTAAACAATTTTCAACCATCTAGCATTGAGAAGGCTCCTTTATTTTCTTTCAAATTTATCTACTTAAGAGAGAGGGAGAGTGAGCAAGAGAGAGAGAAATAGAGCAGGGGCAGAGGGAGAGGGAGCAGCAGACTCCCTGCTGAGCAGGGAGCCTGACATGGGGCTCGATCCTGGGACTCCAGGGTCATGAACTGAGCTGAACGCAGACGCTTAACGACTGAGCCACTCAGGCGTCCCGAGTAGGTTCCTTTAGAGAAGGCGATAGTCTTGAGCCATATTCATAAAAAGCACCAAAGGGAATGTCATTCTTGATTTACTTGCACTGAAAATATATCGACCCTTGTTCATGTGAAGCAAGAACAAAGATGTCCTGAGTAAACTGTCAGATTTAATCAATCCCGAAAATCACCTGCGGGCCTTCAGATATCGGGAACTTGGGGTGTGCACTCTGTCTGCAGCATATTGTCTCCGGAGATGCCCTGAGATGTCTAGAGAACTGGTTGAAACCGCAGGCAAGCTCATGAGCAGGAGTCCTCCCTTTACGAGAAAACAGAAACTTCTCTGAAGTATGACATGTTGTTTTGCACGGACTCTGGCATGATGGAAGCACACGCGCTTCCCAAGATAAGACAGGGGAGCTGGCCGAAGACACGACCAACCACACCACAGGGCGTTTCTGAGCTCCGCGAACAGATAAAGCACCTCAAAGTCAGCAGCACTCTGGCGCAGAGGGCATCAGCGAGCTCCCGGTAGAAGGAAACCGTATGTGGCCGCAAGTCCTGTACTTCCTAAGTGAGATAGGCTGAGATCATGCGACAGTAACACAGCAGCTCAGCCGGCTCCAGAGGACAGAGAAGATGGGTACTTTCACTAAGTGACAAAGAACACGATGCTCTAGGGAGCCACCACAGAGCCCAGGGGTGACAGGGCCCATTGTCCCAGCTGGGCCCTCTGTCAGGAGCACTGACAGAGGCAGTCCCTCTGTCAGAGGCAGGCAGGTGGCTTGGGGAGGGAGGCAGGCAGGACTGGAGTCGTCAGTCTGGGACTCCTTCAACAGGCAGGTATGAACAATACTTCTCCCCGGTATGGAAGGAGCCCAGAGAATGCACAGGCGTGCCCACGGCCATCAGTTCTGAGTGTGTGCTCCTGACCCTTCACACTTCTGTTGAGCTGAATCCCGAAGTTCTTCTGGTCAGTGGAACTATCCTTTGGGCTGCAGAGAACTCCTCACCCACTCAAATGTAGAAAGGCAGGAACCCTGCTGGCCTTAAAGACTCCGCTCACCCGCTCCTCCTCGAGCTCTCCTCTCTCCTCCCGTCCCTGCCTGCTCATCTGGACGACAGAGTTGGGACCGACCAGAGCCTGGCTGATGTCCAGCCCATGACCCAGTCCGCCCATCAGGATCGTCCCATCACCAACCACACCTGTGTCATCAGGAGCTCCAAGCTAAAGATATACGAGGGTTATGGGTTGTTCTTTTCACTTTTATTCGAATACATACAAAGCCTGCAGACAGCCTGATACACTTCTCCCACCAGCTCTCTTCCTCAGTCTGGCGCAATGCCATTGTCACATTGGGGATGCGCGGGACCATCTCAGACACACAGGCCAACGGCCACTTGTCCAATGAGCCGTGCTGGCACCCGCCCATGTGAGACTGACAGAAATGACAGTAAACATTTTTTGGGTAAAAAACCTATTTTTTGTAATGTACCTTTGGACAAAATGTAATCTTTTCTTCCTTTCCCTTTCAGGCACTTAAAAATGAGACATTTCAGGAATGGGTAACCGGTTCATTAAAATTCACTGGATCTGGTTTCCTAAGAAAACTGAAACAGTGTGGGAGGCAACAGCACTTGCCACCAGAGTTCGTAAGACCGACAAGGATGACGATATTCCCAATGCGCCAGCACCTGATTAGGAGGTACAGGAGGTGGGCACACTCATCCGTGGTTAGCCTCGCTTCCCCCGAAATTCTGTCTCTAAAATTAGGTCATTGCCTTAGTATGAAATCGGTTAGATGAGTATCACGTTTACTGGGAAAAATGAGGACCCTCCTTGTGACTTGACCTCTGGTACTGCACACACTCATCACAGCTTCCACTGCTGAAAGACAGTTTGGTCCACAGAGAACTAGTTAGGCCGTAACTAGTTCACTTGTTTCTTATCTCGGGCCCACAGGGTGAGTGTGGTCTACATGCACCACATTTAGTTTGAGAATCTCAGTTCTCCGAGTGACAAGTGGCTGAAGACAGGGCCCGGAGATGACGGGGTCCACGGAAATGCAGACGTGGGAGGTGTGGGCTGGTGGTCACGCTGCTGCACTGAGCCTGCCCCCGCCCAATGGTCCCCCCTGCGGAGTCGAAGCAGCTGCCCACACTGCCCACTGTGGCCCCCGTTCCTCTGTGAAGATGCTCTTTGCTGGGCATCGGGCTGGATGTGCTCAGAGGCGCTCCTGCTTCCTGTGACAGCGGGGGTCAGCACGGGGGTCTGGAAGACTAACCAAGAGCAAGTCTACTTCCTGTGGTAAAAAATCCCATCACCTCAGTCAACCTTCAACACAAAACTAAATCACTAAATCACTCGGAGAAATCCTTTGATGTGTTTATAAAAAGAAAAAACAAAAAATTTGCAAATTAAAAAAAAATCCTTAAAAAATGTCGTATCAATAGCCTTCTTATTAACAAATACAAACAGCTTAAGACACTTTGTGACTTCCTTAGGTCCTGGATCAGGGGGATGGATCCACAGTGAAGTTTTACTACTAGAATCACCTATTTGGTAAAAGCTCTAGCAAGGATTCCACTGACAAAATAACTGTTTTGGAAAAAAAGAGTTACAACTTTTTCCAAAATGTCAAAAAGAATAAAGATGTAAACACCACATACTTACATATTAATAGAACAATATTAATTCAGTTAAATAAATATTAAAAAGTGGCACCAACGTTATGGCAATTTTTCAGCACAAAAATGTAGCTTGAGGATATTTTAAAATAAATAGTTGCTTCCAACAGAAATGAGCGTTCTTAGCACAAACCAAACCAAGAGCGTCTGAGATAAAGTGCTATGAGACGAAGTGGCTCCAGGCTCCAACCTGCTCATCTGTGCGCAGAAAAGCCATCTGGGTCCCCGGGTCTGAGGTGTCCGCCACCAGGGAAGCGTCGGGAAGCATCACTAAATGTCAGGCTGAGGGCCATCTTTCATCATTTTCCTGTTTTCTTCCAGTGTGTGCTTAAATATTTTCTTCAGGGTGTTGTAAACTACTGGTCCATTTTCAGAGTCAAAATTAACCTGCTGACAAAGAATGAATAGACTCAGGACATGGTAGCAGAATTTTAATCAGCTGATTTGGGGAGAAGAGAAAGGAGGGTGGAGGGGCGCCTGGTTTGCCCAGTTGGTTAAGCAACTGCCTTCAGCTCAGGTCATGATCCCGGAGTCCCACATCGGGCTCCCTGCTAGGCAGGGTGTCTGCTTCTCCCACTGACCTCTCTCTTCTCATGCTTGTTCTCAAATAAATAAGTAAAACCTTAAAAAAAAAAAAAAAAAAAAAAAAGGAGGGTGGAGAAAACTCTGACTTCCAAACACAACTATATGCAACGCGCAGCATTCACAACACAGCTCACACGGCAACTCCAACTGAAAGACGATATTAGAACTGCCAATCGTGTCAATACCAAACTTATGAACGAAAACTCAAAAACTGAAACCCCCAGCCTGGACATGTGTCCTCATAGGTTGTCATGAAGCCAGGCAGCTGTGAAGGCAGTGTCGAGTGTGGAGACTAACGGCCGCGGGCACGGGGAAGGCATCTATCAAAACAACGCTTGCCAGCTATAAGGGCTGCCCTCGGCAACCCGCCCGGAGCCCCGCCTTCCGCCAGCCTGGTTCACACCCAACCTCTGTGACGCGCACACCACCATGCCCACAGCCTTGGCGTTTCTGGGAGCTGTGAACATGAGAGGCTCACGTGTTTGTTGGCCAAAGAGAACGTGCATGGAAGTTCGTTGCTTTGCTCTACGGTGGGGACACATTGAGTCCCTGCTGTTTGCCCAAGTTCAGCAGGCTGCAGGGTCGAGTGATGGGAGGACAGAGAAGCAGAGCAATTCCCACACATCTGCACACTCCCACTCCCACAGAAACAGTGGCTCCCTGGGCAGTGCTGTGGAGGGTCCGGGCCTGACCAACATGTTTGTGGACACAAGATGGCCGGGTCAGAGACAAACAACTCTATGACACCAGACAGCATGTGTGTCACAATCACACGGTCGCCCTCGCCCTCCAGGCCCCCCATCCCCCGAAGAGTTGTGGGCCGCACAAGCAGGGGCTCTGCATCCTAGCCGGTCTCTCCGAGTGCAGGTGACCCCAGTGTTTGCTGAGGGGTCGCAGGCCTGGGAAGCTCTGGCCGAAGGGAAACAGGACCCTTATCACACTGGAAGCAGCTGCTGTACAGCCTCCTTGAAGAGCTGGCCCAGAACGAGAGTGGCCAGGGCCTCTGCTCATGAGACTGTGCACAGGGCAAATGGCCATAAATGTCTCCCAACCTTTTCAAAGCTGGATTTGGAACAACTGCTATGTTGAACTTTTCATCAGGATCCCCCTAAAAGGCCAACAGAAATTAAAAAGAATTCCTACCACATTCAGAGAAACCAATACTAAGGATTTTTTCAATTAAATTCAGAAACTTCATTACATTGTTTATCCTACCTGAAAAACCTCTCATTAACATTAATAACGGTGTGAATCGTTCACTTTGCTAAGCACCCAACTGCAACTCTCCCCAAGGGCTGGTGGCCTCGCAGTCTGTGACGACATCCATGTAAGATGCAAAGGACAACTGAGCTGCTGGCTGTGGAAACTGCTGAGAAGAGACCTGGAGGCGCAAAGCTCCCGAGAGTGACCCAGACGCTTCCCAGACGCCTGCAAAGGCGCACTCTGGAGCGCTGCGGGGAGCCGAGGCCAACCACACGAACGGTGAGTGGCAGCATCACTCCTGTTTACCGCAGATGGGGAGAAGCTGGGCTCTGGGCCTCAGGACAGGGTCACGTCCCCTATGAGAGGAACCAGACGGAAAGGCTGACAGGAGCCTTTTCTTCCAGCACAGCCCTGGTTCTTGCTTCAGCCAGGACGGACTGCTGCAAGCCAAAAGGTGTGCACAGAAAACAAACTCTTTCATTACCTTCTGCTTTGATTTGCCAACTAGGGCAGGGTCCCGGGTCACTGATGCTGGGTTCTCAGGGGTCAGTTACGTGTTTAGGCCCAAAGTAGAATGGGCTCACCCAGAAAAGAATCTCTCCTACTTGGCACATATCTAAAATCATTTTCTCCACATCCACTTGTTTCTGTATGAAAGCTCTTTGTTTCAATGTTCTCCTTCAAAACCCCACAGTTCAGCTTTTTCTAATATCACTGTTGAGAAACTACTATTTTTTGGCCAATGTCTACAACTATGTTTGAGAAATGTCCGACACATTTCCATTATGGAAAAACATACTGAACTTTATTTTAGAGCAGGTGAGGGGCCTCTGGATTCTGATTTGCGCTTATGCTGACGGCAGCATGTGACCCACCTTGGTGAAGGCTTTAATGGCACGGGTGAGGATGGCTTCCTCCAAGTCGGCGGGGATCGCCTGCAGGCTCACGACACAGTGCAACACGCAGAGAATGGTCTGGTGCTGGCCCTGTGTTTGCAGAAATTAAAATCAAGCAAGTGGTTTGAAAAATGCCTAGAGACATAAGCTCAAAGCAACTGCACAGCCGGGAGCTGATGCGTGACCAAGTACACGTAACCACAAACACCAAACTCTCTACCAAGGGCTCTGCCAATCCTTCCTGTTACGTGTTCATACAATCTGAAAAGCTTTCGGGGAGATACAATCAAAGCTGCTTAGTTAGTACATAAGGTATAGCTGGATATGAACACAAGTGCAATCTCAAATCAAACGTCTTCCTTGCAGTGAACTGATGAGAGGACCCACTCGTTTCTGTACACACTGTTTCGGGTCCGCTGATGGATGCTGACGTGCCACGGCGGTATGTGGACTAGTGGCGGGTGGCCAGCGTCAGTACGGGCACGCCCTGTCTGTGGCAGGAGCTGCAGAGGGAGGACAGAACTTCAGGGGAAGGTGCCCGAGGAACGTGTCCGACTCGACTCCCAGTGCTGACTTAGAGAAGCAGAAGAAACCCTTCACCTCTGGAGCCACCACGTGTCGGCACACTTGCCTGAGCACCACTGACTGCGTTTCTCGGAATCTACTCTGAGGGCCTAACCAGAAATGCAGAAAACCTGCAAGCACAAGCGGTCACTACAGGGATGGCTACCAAAGTAAAAACCTGAAATGATGTAAACACCCCACATGCGGGGGTCGGGGTAAAGGATGGGGAAGGTGTGGTGGGCGCCTTGTGACAGACGGGTTGAGCTGTGTGCAGAGCCACTGGAGTTCAAGTCCTGCTCTCACACACGCTGCCTGTCTTTCCTGAGAGACGGGGCCTCGTCCTGGGCCATGGAGATGAATGGAGGGGAAAACGGAAATTATGACCTGACGAGGGCCTGGCCATAGCCCCAGGGATGACTGCTCTCCTTCTCTCACAGAGGGGAGAGAAGGCAGACTACGAAACAGACTCTGGATCCAGGGCATCCTCATCTGTGAAGTTACGTGTGCATGTGTATGAGCATCCGTGTCTGTGTCTAAAAAATGACATATATGAAATGTAGTGATCCGAAGGGGCACGTGCACCCAAATGTTTATAGCAGCAGTGTCCACAACAGTCAAACTTTGGAAAGAACCTAGATGTCCATCAACAGATGAATGGATAAAGAAGATGTGGTATATATATATATATATATATATATATATATATATATACACACACACACACACACCATGGAATACTATGCAGCCCATAAAAAGAAATGAAATCTTGCCATTTGTGAGAATGTGGATGGAACTAGAGGGTATTACGCTGTGTGAAATACGTCAGAGAAAGACAATTATCATATGATCTCCCTGATATGAGGAAGTGAAGATGCAACATGGGGGGTTTGGGAGGTGGGAAAGGAATAAATGAAACAAGATGGGATCGGGAGGGAGACAAACCATAAGTAACTCTTAATCTCACAAAACAAACTGAGGGTTGCCAGAGGGAGGAGGGTAGGGAGAGGGTGGTTGGGTTATGGACATTGGGAAAGGTATGTGCTATGGTGAGTGCTGTGGAGTGTGTAAACCTGGCGATTCACAGACCTGTACCCCTGGGACCAATAATACATTATATATCAATAAAAAATAAAAAATCATTTAAAAAAATGAAGTATGTGTTGTCCTTGACCATAGTAACAAATGCACTAAGTTTGACAGAAAGGACTTGCAGATGTTCACGGTGGGGCCGCTGGGATCACGGGTTTTCTCATCTGGCTTTGTATCTTCAACATGTGATGCTGGGCGTGCATTTCTTCTTACCTCGGAAGAACCTAAATCAGGCCCAGATATGGGACTCCGCGCAAGCCCCCTTCTTTAGAATGGACTTTAGTGCACGAAGCCTATGCTAAGGCCTTGGTTAACTTTAACCGCCCCACAGCCTCTTTACCTTCTCTAGCAGAGAGAGCGCGTCCGCGGCGTCCGTGTGGCTGCCGAGCAGCATGTCCACGTCCTGTTTGGTGATCACAGGCTCCTTCAGCTGCTCCACCCAGGACCACATCAGACTGCACAGGACGAAAGGGTCCCTTTCGCCACATATTCTTTCCCAAGCTCCATCTCGGGAATTTAGTTCTTTCTACAAAGAAGGGAAGAAAAAGGAAAATGGAGAGAAGGAGAGGGGAGGGGAGGAAAAGGGGGGATGGAGGAAGGAGGAGGGAGGAGAGAAAAGAAGAGAGGGAGGGAAGGGAGGGGGAGGGAGAGAGGGGAGGGGAGGGGTCAGAAGGAGGGAGACGGGGAGGAACAGGGAGGCAGCACCATTTGAGGTTTGATGGCCCTCAGGCTGTCCACGAGTGACAGTCTTAGGCTCAGGGTGGACAGGAACCCCTCCCAGTGCCCCCACCTCTAGGTGGCACATGGGCTGAGATGCTGAGTTTCTCCAAGCCTCAGTTTCCCTCTGTGAAGCTGACCCCTGCCCCACGTGTGCATTAAAGCTCCCTCAGAGGGGGGTTCAGTTGGCCTAAACGCTAAGCTCCCTACCCCATTCTGAAACCACAGATACTGTTCAGGAAGAGGGAGCCTTCATTTTTAGGTTCCTTGGAACAAAACAAATATACTGTGAGGAAGTAGAACGGCAGACGAGAAAGCATATGTAAGGCAACATTTGCAAATTACCCTGGGACGAGGAAAAGCTGACTAAACCTTCCAAACGGGCCCCAGAAAAGTGCTGAACAGTCTGCAACCATGGCAGACACACCTGCCTCACGTTCCTTTCCACAGTCCCGTGCAGGCCCAGACACAGAGTCAGCCCCACATCCTGAGATTGGACAGCGGAGGGGACGAGCAAGTCTGGCCCACGCCCCAAATGCTCGAGACAAGTTAAAAGCAGAAGGCCCTAACAGTTTACCTCGCAGAGAGCAGCAGACAAACAGGAAGGATTCTAACTTCTGATGGGGCTCAGCTTTATGCGTTAGTAAATAAAGTGTATGTGTGCTACAGGAATAAGCATCATAATTGCACATTCATTCATTCACGCATCGGGTCGGTTCACAAGACTCAGACTGGGACAGCCTGCAGCAGGCGGCCTATCCAATTCCTACAGCATCCGCAGCGGGGCCTGATGGCAGACGTGCGGGCCCAGGGAAGAGGGTACCTGGCCAGGAGCCCAAAGCAGCACGGGGCAGGCAGCGTTCCCTGGGTTTTGCTTGATCCCTGACGTGACGCTCCTGCCCTGCTGCCAGGGTCCTCTGGCTCTGGGTTCCTCTGGTTCCTCTTTATTCTCTCATAAAGAAGCCACTGTGTTTAGCTGTGTGGAGGCCCCGGTCCCCACGGGTCACACACACAGCCGATCGGCTCTGCAGTAACCAGAAGCTCGGCAGAGCAGCACAACTAAGGCCCTCCCAGGAAAATGCTGGTTACTCTGTTTTCTGAAATCCTCCAGGGGGCTGAGCAAGCCGTTAAACTCATGAGCTGCATCCTGGCCCTGCCGCATTCGGGCCACATGATCCTGAGCAGGTGTCTTGACCCCTGTGACCCTCAGCTTCCCTATCTGTGATCCTTAATTCATAAGGGTTGTGAAGATTAAGGAAGAATCTTAGGGTATCCTCTGCCCGCCGGGTCACCGTGAGAGAAGGTGACGCAGCGGCCAAGAGAGGTCCCAGCAGGGGCACGGGCAGCACGGTGCCGCCCAAATCATAGCTCTGGACTCCTTCCAGAACTCAGCTAGGTTGTTTTACTGCTGAAAGACTCATAATAAAATCCAGAAAGTGTAACAAAGGGCAAGCCTATCCAAACAAAAGGGTCATGTTCACCTCTGGAAAATGCTTTTGTATTTTGTGCTCCAACAGTCCCACCCACTAGGCTGACCTCTGAGGGGTCCGACCACTAGCTCTCATGGCTACGGTGTTGCAAGGGAAGGGCTCGCAGACTGAACAGCCAGAAGGACCCAAAGTCCTGTTCAGTTTGGAATAAGAAAAAATACTTCATGTTGTGGGAAGTCAGTATCTGTACATATTTGCTCAGTGAACGCCTGCAGTTCTGACAAATGCGCACGTGCTCTGCAGTCCCACAGCTGTAAGTGGGTGCAAAGCTCTGGCCAAGTTTTCCCACCTCTGCATCTGGAAGGTTCTGACCCTCCTGAAAAGTGTACATGCCTTGCTTAATTAATGCAGAATACAGAGGAGCAGCCACACAGATAATTCGTGGGACATTACAGACTGACGAGTCCAGATTTCACTGAGACAGGCCTCCCCAGGTCAGCCCCACATTTGGGCAGTTGACTAGTTTCTGGTAACTAGGTGGTTAAGGCCTTTTGTGTACACCAGTTCATTCAGGGCGAAGAGCACAACTGATTTAAGACTGTTTCTAATGAAAATACACCACAAAGAGGGGTTAAAATTTAAAATTGCACATTCTAAGTAAAAGCCCAGGAATGGACCCCAAAGACACAACTTTGGGTAAAACGAATGGCATAGGGGTGCCTGGGTGGCTCAGTCAGTTCAGTTTCTGACTCCATTTCGGCTCAGGTCATGAGCTCGGAGCCCCAGGTCAGGCGTGGTGCTGAGTTTGGGACCCTTTCCCTCCCTCTGCCCCTGCCCCCACACCTCTCTCGTTCGCTCTATATAAATAAATAACATCTCTTTAAGAAAACTAACGACACAAAGGTACTCTGCGGCTCGCTCCCAGTGCTTTGTGGAATCTGACCGTTGCCACACGGGAGCACCGGGAGGTCTGCAGGAAGGGGAGCCGAGCGGATAGCAGCCATCGCGCGTCCTCCTGACCTCACTCAACACTTGCGTTGGGGACTTTGGACAAGAGTTTTCTCTGATTTTACTCATGTGTCTCGGTCAGTGATTCTCCAAGTATGGCTCCCCACCAGATTCAGGTTAGAGATGCTCCAGTCAGTTCCTAAAGCTGTCTGCTGTGGTCTGTCTGTCCCACAAAGCCAGCAGGAAAGCAAGAAGCCACCACAGGCCTGGGCATCAGTGCCCTGCTCGGAGGACGCGGCTAAGTGCCAAGGACTGCGTGCTCTCTTTCACACAGACACTGAGAAACCTGAGGTTCCGAAGTCAGGTGTTACCGAAACAGGTCTTCAAATTCCCATAACCCTTCAATTTGGTAAAATGTATTCCGTTTTTGCTCTGACATAAGTACCCCCTGCCAATGCATAATTAAATGAGATACAAGTACCTGCCACATTTCTACCTTCCTCTTCACCTCCTCCTTCTCTGCAAACTCATCTAAGCTTGCCAGGGCTTTGGCTGCCAGTACTCTCCTGGCTTCGGCACTCAGTCCGGACTGCGCAGCACCATGTGCAGCAGCTGCGGACACGTCTCTGCTGTCCTGGGCTTGGCTGCGTCCGCCGGAAAAGGGTGCTTTGGGGCTGAAGCCACAGTCCAGGGGCCTGCGGGGCGTGTCGGAGCAGCAACCGGCGGGAGTTTCGTACTCACAGCGGGGCGCTTGCTGGGGAGAACTGTCTGATTCTGTCGGGGTATCTGCAAGGTTCGCTGTAACCGGCTCCCTAGGGTTGTATGAACCTGAAACACCCGAAGAGAAGGTTCTACTCCGCTGTACTTCCTTTGCAACAGTCTCCCTATGGAAAAGCGGTGACCCCTCATCTTTGAGTCCTTCCAGTCCTCCAAATTTAGCCTGATTCCAGAAAGAGAATGTATTTCGGACAAGCGTTTCCTTACTTGGATCAAGCTGTGGAGACTGGGGGGTGTAACAGTGGCTTATGGGCTTCTGCAGCCCGGGGTTACGGCCAAGCAAGGCCTGGGCAGGCCCCGTCCACGGAGTCTCCCCGTGCTCCAGAAGCGTCTCGGCCCTCTTTAAATCCGAGTCGCTGTAGCTGAGTCGCCTTTTCAGGTGAGTCAGGGGCTGAAGGCACTCGACATTCCGCCTCTTCCAGAGAGGGTCAATCCCTTGCTCGCTGGAAAGAATCACATCCTGATTCTCAAAATCCGTGGCCACCGCGGTGGCGGGGAAGCAGTCGGATGCGTCGCTGCCCTGCCTCAGCAACTCCTTATCCAGCTGCAGGGTGATCATCTCAGAAACCGTCTTCTCAATCTCGGCGGACAGGCTGGGCACTTCTGCCACCTCTGCCGTCACTACTGGCCTGTTCTCGGCTAAGTCCAGCAGCAATTTGCAGACGAGGTGGATAATTTTGGGTACGTGTTTCAGGAGTCGGGCCTCATACCCATGAAGCAGATGCCGCTGGCGAATAAGATACTGTGCTAAAGTCACGGCATGCGCTTTGGGGTCGCAGCAAGAGAATATATTGCGAAGAGGAATCAGAAACTGAGTAAACTCCCTTACGCAGAGCAGCTGTCCTCGAGTTTGTATGGAATTGGGTCGCTTTGCCCGAACAAATATAATTGCTTGGTCAGCAGTCATTCTTGTGGCAAAAACCAAGTAACATGCTATTAAAACGCCTAGGGGTGAAGAAGAGAAGACTGATATGAAAAAGTTTATCACTTACTTATTTACCACTCTCTAAGATTTAAATTTTGAATATGCATTAGGAAACCATATAAAGGACCATTTTAAGGACAATTATAACTTACTGACTTCTTGTACAAGTGTTTATTCACTTGTCTATATGTCCCTTCTCCCCGTGAGAACCCACAGTTATCTCTGTACCCTGAGAGGGAGTAAGTGTGGGTGAGGGGATGAAGGAGTAAGAAGGGGTGAGGGGATGAGGGAGAGAGTGTGGTGAAGGGGATAAGGGAGACAGTGTAGTAAGGGGGATGAGGGAGTAATAGTGGGTGAGGGGATGAGGGAGTGAGTGTGGTGAAGGGATTTGAGAGTAGTGAGGGGGATGAGGGAGAGAGTGTGGTGAGGGGGATGAGGGAGTCAGAGGGGGTGAGGCAA